AATAGTTTTTCAAATAAAAATGTATTATTTTAAATATAATGGTATAGTTGGAGTACGGTCGTTTCTAAGGTGGGCACATTTAATCGCATAACAAGTCGACAAACCAGATAAAATTAATATTTTAGAATATTTATTAATAGTAATTTATAATTTATAATATTTTATTTAGATCTAATGTTCTTTATTATTACGATCGAAACAATAATTGAAAAAAAAAATTAAAATAAAACAATGTGTGTAGTACTATTCTAACAGCTCATATACTTGTATATCTTTAAATATTTGTGCCGAAAATTCCAGCTTCTTTGGACCTTCAAACCTGAAGTATGCACCTAATGATAAAAGAAATTATTTAATAATTAATACAACATTATTAAATAAAACAATGTTATCTTTTTTTTTTGGTAATTTAATTTTTTTTTACATAAACTTTCATGAATATTAGCATAGTATACTTTGCCAAAATTATTATATTTGTTCCATAAATTTTGTTATATTTTGTATTAAAAAAATATAATTTTGAATATATATTTTTTTTTTCAATAATATAGTATTACATATTAATAATTTTTAAATTTTATTTTATTTTTTATGGTTTTACTAAATCTTAAAAATTACCTTTTTTGTATAATATTGTTTTAACAATAATTTATGTTGATTGTGATGATTGATTCCTTTCAGTACTTTTGTAAATCTTAATATATTTTAGTTATTAAACAAATACAGCCAAAAATTGTAAAAAAAAAAAAAGACATTCGTCAAGTAACCTCAAAATTAATATTATGACAGTGATAATTAATTAACAGCGATCGGATTTTATAGTATATATACACTATATATTATTATAGAACATGGGAAAATATCACAGCATCCCACAGATGTCCTCATGGTTTATACATTAATGAATACAAATTATTTAATAGATATGTTGTATACTTCGATGTGTACTTTTTCTATTGTTTATTATTATGATTTGGTTTTTTATTTTGTGTACGTTTAAATTGGTTACGAATTACAAGATTTTTAACGTAGTGTACGTACCGTATTTTTAAAAAAAAAAAAAAAATACACTTACACGTATAATTTACATGGATATAGTTTTTTATAATATTCTCCTCGTCACGGATATTTTGGAATCCGGTGCGCGCGTAACATTTTAGCGGCCCAACGCGAATAACGTATATACGACATACTTAATAATAACAATGTACACGTACGAACATACGCGCGCGCGGACCGACCGGTGTTATTTATATTATACGTTTTAAGGAATTTCGTTCACGTGGGCGGATCGCGTCCGCCGCTCGCACCAACCCGACGATAGTTACTGTTTATAAACGGTGTACCCGCGCAAACATTACATTATATCATGCACGCGCAGAGGTTTCGGCAGACGGTACCGGACGACGCGTACACGCGAAGGATGCGTGTACGGGCAGGAGCAAAAAAAAAAAAAAAAAAACGAAAGAAAAAAAAGTAAATCGAAATAAAATTAACGTGCCGGGATGATTAAGAAATAAATCTGCGTGGCGGGAAACCAGTTGGCGAGCGAGGGACGGAGGTTGCGCGCGCCGAGAGCTGAAAAACGAAAATACCCGCGGCCCGATGTGTCCGTCGCGTCGTGGCCGCACGCATACGAGTCCGCGGGCGCGCGCGAAACGGCAACAATAACTTATTAATATTAATGGTCCGGGGCCGATGGACGCGAGTAGATCGCATAAACTGGACCGTTTATTTTATTCATTCTCGTTTGTTTTTACTCTTCTCGTTCTTGTTCACGGTCTCCCTCCCCGTCGTCGTTTGTCCTCCCGCGCCCCAGTCGCGCACAACGTTTTGCGCGAACCGCGTACGTACGCCTACCGCTGCGCGACACGTGTAACAACGTGCACTGTGCGCGATGTGTGTGTGTGTGTGTACCACCCCGAAACGGTAATCCGTATCGGGTCGCACCCGCGTGCCCACTCCCCCGGTCGGAGTTCGTACCGCGAAAAATTCGAGTGTTACGCCGCGTAACTCACGGTGTAAATCTCGACGATACGCGTGTACCGCGGATCAGCAGTACACATTTTTCGAACTCGTGTGGGACGCCGTTGCACGTGTACGCAGAGTTCTGTACGTAATTTACATACGCGATACATAAACAGTTGGCTTATTATTTATTTATTTGCTGGTTTTTTTTTTTTTTTTTTTATATATAAAAGACGACTTACAATACGCATAAATAATGGTGATCGCGACGAGAGTTGAAAAACAAAAATGATTGCGATATGACACGCGAATACTGTGAATGCAGACGTCGCACGGCGGAATTCGCCTCGCGCGCAGTGTACATATCGTAAACCACGTTCCGAAACGGGCGTACGAACATAACGGAAATTTATAGAGCTGATGACATCGTACCCGAACTACACGAATCGACGTGGAAACGATCAAAATCCAAGACGTCTGCGAGCGTAGGATTTCAGCGTTCAACCGTTATCAACGGAGACTTCAACAGCCTTATTATGCGACGTGAAGAGAAACAATAAATTGAGTAGGATTTGCATATATTTTCAATGACGTGCATGTAATTAAAGAATACTTGAACCGTTCGAAACGTTGTTAACATCGAGTATTCGGTAAGTAACGGTTTATTCGATATTCGTGCGGGTTGAACTACAATCATATAACTTCTTCGAAAATAAACGCAATGGACCTTTACTGCAAAATATACTGACCACGGAGAGAAAAATATAGTGAATTCACACAGTCGATAAACAGCCAGAAATATCATATGAACATCGATGTGGATAGGATTTGTTGTACCTGTGTGTTATAATATGGCATGCTATGACAAAACATGTTACTTTCAGCAAGTCACAAAGTAGTGCCACTTAAGTCCGTGAAAAGCGCAAAAGCGACGGATAATTTTATAACCGTGTAAATGCGTCGTTGCACGGTTCTCCGTCGTTGGCGAATTCAACTTCAAATATTGCATTCATACAACTCATTTGTGTGTTTTTATTAAGTACCAATAACATAAATATTTTGAAACATACCTAATTTATTTCTTAAAACAGTCAATGAAATAACACTGCAATCACATCAGTGTTCGTGTAATATCGTTTCTATTATTATATAAATAGAATATAATGTAGTGGTAGCGGTGCAGTTGCAATGCGGTTTCTACATGACTCGTTCTGGTTAATCGTTAATTAAATGAAATCGATGTAGCACGTTATCGCGACGAACACCGTACGTGATCCGTGCGCTGTACGGATCGAGAAGTTGCCAAACCCTCCCTACGTGCCTACACCAAGTACATATTATCATAATCAGACACGCGCCGTGATAGTCGTACGGGGAATAGGTACGGGAACGTATCATTAAGATTATTGTTGTAGCGCGTTTTAGCCGATGTACCGATCGATAACAGTAATGGTATAACACACACTCACCTTTCGCGGTTTTGTCGTACAGGTATGTCACAGACGCAGCTCGATGGAGAGGACATCGTCGTGCTAAACGTGCGCCCGGGTCACAGATTATTATTATTCAGAACACCCATAACACGTGCACTGAAAATATCAACATACCGCTTCCACGGTCGCAAATCAGGAGGGTTTGGGGAGGGGGAACCTTAGTCCTTCCAAAATCCAGGGCGTAACGTTTCAAAATGATATATTTTGCGACACGAATATTTTGTACGATGATGAAAGCAAGTTAAAGGGATGTGGAAGGCAAAACCCCCCCCCACGGGTATGTTTGGTATACATTTTTCGAGCCGGGTAAAAAATTTAAATCGCGCCTATGACCGCATCACCAGGACACGGTGTCGGAAAAGGAGTGGCGAATATTTTTTTTCGATCCTCTGAGTCGTAGAGAGAGTAGGTACACCGGCATCATGCCGTCGCAATAAAACCGCCCGACCAAAATGGAAACACTAAAAAAATAATAACGATATAAATATTACGAAACGTTTTCGTGGCGTCGGATGATGTTGTCCCACTGTTCTATTACGGCACACATTGTTGTCAATCGGTTTCCGAGACGATCGTATTCATTGTACACGTGTAGTACGCATAACACGATTTATTGTTCAACGATTATTATAAAATATATATTTAAATTATTATTTTTATTGTCAATTATAGCTGCGCGATGTATAATCACGTTGTAGGCCTGTTACACGATTAACTCACATTAGCGCATAATTCATACGGAAATGTGACGGAACAGTTAATGGGAAACGTAAAATAAATATAAAAATAAATTGTTTGTTTGGAAATAAATTAATCTCGGCGGAGATTCTTTTTTTCTCCTCCGTCGAGTGGGAATGATTTAACGGTCTTTTTCGAATATATATGTTTGCATTTCGTGTACACGTAGGTACAACACACGTGCGTATTACAACATGTAATGTCGTTATTTACGTGTGCGTTTATGGATTAAAGTGAACGCATTTCGTTATTATTCTTTATTTCATTCAAGTGGGAACACGTGTATCGGATTTTTTTTTCCACGAGAAGCTTACATTATTAGTATAGGTATCATTAATATATTATTAAAAATACCTTTGAACTAGCCAAATCGTAAGATATCTTACGTCGCGTAATCGGTCTTATAATACTTTACGTTAAGTAGTAAAACGTTCTTTTTCCGTATGTACCGGATGCATATTAGCATTCTGGGGTCGGTCTCGGCACCGGTTATCATTTTAGCTTTCTGATTGGTCGTTTGGTTTGGCCGCGCTTTTTAAAAACTGTTACCCTATAACCTTGTTATCTAGTATTATGTGTTATTTAATATTATCAAATTGCAATGCCTATTTATTATTTATGATACTATTATAAAGTACTAGCAGACCCGGCGAACTCCGTTTCGCCACCAGATTCGTTTTATGTAACATTTCGTTTGGTGATTAAAAGATAAAGAAAAAAAATTTTTTTTGTTATATATTTGAAAAGGAAAATATTTATTTCATTTCACAACAGTAATAAATTCATTTCAATTACCTACTAAAATGAAGTGTTATTTAATTGTTTCATTGTAGTGCTCTTTGGTAAACCACATTTTTTGTTTTTTGGTCTGACGTTAACACAAACAAAGCGGATGGTTTCCCAACTCGTGAACACGCAACGTATAACTGTCCATGTGAAAAACAATGATTTTCCAAATTTATCCCGCAAACACTAAGCGATTGGCCTTGCAACTTATTAATTGTCATTGCGAACGCAAGGCGAACTGGGAATTGCAATCGTTTGAAGTCAAACGGAAGATCAGTCGGAATCATTGGTATTCGAGGAATACATACATTTTCACCTGCGTACTTTCCGTTAATAATGGTTGCCTCAATTAAATTCGGCATAAGTCTCTTTACCGAAAGTCGAGTACCGTTGCAAAGTCGCGGTGGATTCAAATTACGCAGTATCAAAATAACTGTACCAACTCTCAGTTGCAAGTTATGTGGTGGAAATCCTGGTATCTCCAGAGAGTTCAAAAACTCCGTTGGATAATTTACTACATCATCGGGATTTGTTATTGAATCAACGGATTTGTATGTCACCAAATCGCCAGCAATTTTTGATTGAATGGTGAAATTCAGTGCGTGGACATCATTATTCTTTGCTGCAAGAATTGCTCGTTGACTTAACCAAGCATAATTCTTATAATTTTCACTAATGTTTGGGAAAACATTTTCAATAAGAACTAATTGAGTGTCTACAAATCGGCAAAAGTCGTTGGTAAGAGTAATTAATCCAGATGTCGCATCAACTGGGAATTTTCCATTTCCAAGATCTAACAATTGTTTGGAAAATTGTGCAGCACTTTGATCATTTTGAAGTTGAACTCTCATATTAGTGGTTAGCGATAATGTTTTTACGTTATTCCATAAAGGTGATGCCTTTAGGCAAGCATTCAATTCATCTGCAGGCGTTCCACGGGGAACTACTGGCAACGTCTGCCTGAAATCGCCTGCCAACAATATCATCAAGCCGCCAAAGATGTTGTTATTTCTCCGAAGATCCTTCAGTGTGAAGTTAAGTGCTTCAAGTGATTTCTTATGTGCCATTGTGCACTCATCCTAAACAATGAGCTTGCATTGCATTAACAATTTTCCCATTGCACTGGATCGGGAAATATTGCACGTTGGAGTATCAATTGTGTTTAAATTGAGTGGCAACTTAAGCGCAGAATGTGCAGTACGACCGCCATCTAGAAGAGTCGCCGCAATTCCAGATGATGCTAACGCCAAAGCTATGTCACATCTTGATCGAATAGTGGCCAAAATCAATGAAATGACAAATGTTTTCCCTGTTCCTCCAGGTGCATCCAGGAAGAATAGACCACCAGTATTATTGTCCACCGCTTGCATTAATGTTTTGTATACTTGTTTTTGCTGTTCATTCAGCAACGGAACATTATTTCTAACGAATTCCTGCAATGTATCAACATTGTATTGCAGCTCTCGATTTAATTCTTGGTTGAATGCATCGTGCATCAATCGATTTGGCGCAATCATTCCTACTTCAATCAGTAGCTTGTTTGCAATAGTCAAGCATTGATCCTCAATCAGAATCAATCCTTCATTGTAGATTTCATCGGTTATTTGGATGTCAGGATTATTCGTTTGAATACGCAAGCGATGCAAGATATCTTCACATATGGCGTCTTTGTATTTGTTCCATAACTGAATTGGTTGTGAAGGAAAACATGTGGTGATGATAATTGCGAACAGCGTTCGTATTTGGTACGCATTTGATGAAACAACTGAATCTGCAAGTGTTAAATCCCAATGAGAATCGTTCTCCAGCAAACCCAATAGTTGACATGCTTCTCGATATGTTTGGCATTGGTGGCCATTCACAGTTTTCAAATGCGCAAATGATTTCGGTCCACGTACATTTACTAACAGCAGTCGCAAATAAAAACATTCATCGTTTCTAGGATGAACAGTGTACATACGACCTAGTGCATCAGTTGAAAACACCTGTGGCCAGTCTGGAACTGGGGTTCCTTGTTTGCGACGTTGGAATTTCTTTGTTGATTGATTCCAAGTGTAATACTTGGGCATTTCAACGTACATCAGCGTCGCTGCGAATGGATCTGCTTCACACATTGCAAAGAAGCTAGTCAATGTTGTCGATGGTGGTCTCTCAGCTCGTTGTGCCGCATTAGCCTCAGTGAAGTAAACTCTTTGGCCATTTTCCAAATGCACTGCTAAATGTACAACTGTGGGATATCTTTCATGAATTTGAAATGACAATAATCGCCACAGTGCTTCATTAGTACTGACGTATCTGCCCATTTGGAAGTTGCTGATTTCGTCATTCACATTTTCCGACGCAATACCAAACACAGCCATGTCGCTGCCTTTTGTGACGTACTTGCACAAATATTTGATTGATTTGGCCGAATGACAACTCTCAACGTTTGCATGTGTTTCGAAAATTCGTGATAGCAGCGGGCAATATGGTACAATGAATTCATTTCCGATCTCAATCTCTTGATTTTGAACTTTAACTTTGATAGTTCGACCGTTATCTTCTTTTGAACGCCGACGATAAACTGGATATCCATCGTTCCCTGTGACTGTTTCAGCAACTAACGGTCGCGGATATCGTTTTGTGCATTTTCCATCAGCCATGCAAGGCGATAATGGATTTAATGCACCGCACGGTCCATGCACCATCTGTGTCGTCACAATGTCGTGTAGACGGGGATCAGTGACTGGATCAGGAATTTCAGCTGATATGATGTCATCCACTTCATTTGAATGTAATTTGTTCAGCAACCAAATTAGGATATGAGCATGCGGTAGTCCACGCTTCTGCCATTCCACCGAGTACATATAACAACGTGTGTCACCAAAAACTCGATACTTAGTAAGCACATCCATCATAACCTTGAGTTTTTGCTGAAATACTCTGGCGATTATGTCATGGCGATCTTGCGGTTTTTGACCCGGTTCCAACTCGCGTTCAATTTCCGTCCACTTCGGATTGCATGTGACCGTAATAAATAAATCCGGAGTTCCATAATTTCGCACGTACGTCATAGCGTCTTGAGCGTATTCGTGCATGTGGCGTGGGCTTCCGATATAAGTTGATGGGAGAATCGTCAGTCGTCCAATATTCTGAACATCACCATCTGAATGAATAGCATCACGCAAGTGTATATAGTCCTCAGATCGTAGCTTTGGCTGATTGAATCTGATGAACGCTAAACGTTCGGTCTCGACTTTGACATACATGTCGACAGCGAATTGCTGGAATAGCCGACCGCACTTCAGAATGACATTCTCCTCATGTGTACGAATCATCATACAATACGCATAGTAATTCATTGCGCTTAGATTTTTATTATTCGTTGATACTCCTGAAAATGCAAAATTAAATGAATTGTTAATGGAAACCAATAAAAGTAATAATGGAAATAATTAGTGTGTGAATATTGTACCTGTAATTGGATCGACCATCTTCAACGTGATGTCGTATCCGTCTTGCCCTTGCCAATAAATGATTGGATATTGTAACGCATCGTACAAACGATGCATGATATTGCTTCTTCGCTGAACGACAATGTCTCGTGATTTAGTTGGATCGCCAACAATAATTGCAGCAACATCATTAACGGTGGGTGCATTGAATCTTCGCACATGTTCACCTGTTGGAGTACAATCCGCTCTTATGACAAATTTGTGCGTATCCGATGGCATTCGTTCCAATGCTGTTTTGAACATATTAACCACAGCATTATTAGCGTGAAAAAATGCTTGCAACTGTTCAATAATTCGTCTCTTTAACTGTTGTGCTCCCTGTATATTGCACCGCACGTTCAGCTGATCCACCATCGACGAAATGAAATATATTTGCAGAAATTGATGCGGTTCATCTGGTGTTGGCACCATTGAACCATGCAAATGATATATTTGACCATGTATCTGTAATTGCAAATAATCATTAAAATTTGTTCATGAATACATTGTAAATCGTGTGATGGTGTAGTGTGTGGTGTATATGAAGTTGTTATGTGTTGCAATTATGTGTTGGTTATGTGTGTTGTATCTTTTACCTTGCAAGTCGGCATGAAGCCGCCTTCTCGAATGATATTAGCTCCAAAGGAAGTCATGCGAAAGCAGTTATTGTATTCAAGGATGTGTTGAAGAAAATGGCTGGAATCGGGATCACTTCCATCAAACAATGTTTTCAGTGGCTGTGGTGGTGTAAGTAATGGATCCAGTTTGACTTTTCCACTTGCGCAGCACAATCCAACCGTTTCTCTTTTGAACTTTACCGCATTGCAATATCGGCATATAGTCGTCATTCGTCCAATATCCAAATTTTCATCATCACTGTAGTTCGCAGTGGGATCATATTGGAATGCCAAGCGATTGTATGATGCCAATGATCTTCGTGTGCTCACGCGATGTCTCAATCGGTCATTTTCTCTTATTATATTTTTTCTTTCTTCTCTTAAGTTCCTTGAATAGACTTGTTGCTGGCTTGCATGTCTTGTGCGGCGGCCGATGTTCGCACGTCGTTCTCTAGGCATTTTGGACTATGGACAGAGTGTTGAATTTAACTTCAAATGCACGATCCACATAATTTACACTGAGCTTAAATGAAATTAACTGAGCAGAGAATAATGACTATCTATCACACACTTTATCACGCACCGTTGCTATTGGTTTGAAGTACATGCTATGTATAATAGATGGCGCTGTATGTGAAAAACGATTTCCCCACTTTTCTGTTGAATTTTTCCTGAATTTTCCAGAATTTTCTTTGCTATAAACCTCACGGAGCCCAAGACCTTTCCAACGAATGCAAAACCGTGGAAATCGGTTCGTGCGTTCTGGAGTTATAGCGTCAGGGAGGAAAACCGGACTTATTTTTATATAATAGATGAATATAAATAATCTTTAAAAGGGTTTTTACTTTTGAATTTTTTTAGGTAGCTTTTTAAATAAAATATTATAAGTCAAAAAGTATTTTAAAATGTTTAAATTAATGGAATTTGATAATAATTCATTTTATTCTAATAAGTTTTCCGAACAAGATATTTGTAACTGGATTAGTATTCATGGTAAAAATACTATTACAAGCTGGTGTGTGAAAACATATGAGAATGAAATGAATTATCATCAAATTCCACTAATTTAAACATTTTAAGAAACTTTTCGACTTATAATATTTTACTTAAAAAGCTACCTACAAAAAGTAAAAAGTAAAAACCCTTTTAAAGATTAATTGTATTCATACATTATAAAAAAAAAAATAGTAAATACGCATTGCAATGTGATAATATTAAATAACACATAATACCAGATAACAGTTTTTTAAAAAGCGTGGTAAAATCAAACGACCAATCAGAAAGCTAAAATGATAACCGGTGCCGAGACCGACCCCAGAATGCTAATATGCGTACCGGATCGGTGTCCGACTTTTACTTGAGTTTTTCTGTACCTAAAACTATATCTCCGAAAAAATTATCTTCATCGGAACCGTTGTTTTTTCGCAATCCTATGATTTTTTTTGTATAACCTTCCATCAGTGCCGCAACTACACTGACTTGGGCCCGTATGTACATCATATGAATTCTCCCCCCCCCCTCGTCCGGAATCTGCAGGGAAACCGTACCTTTAATCAAAATTGTAACCAAATTATTTTGAATTTCGATTGTACAGGCCACAAAAGAACCGTTGATGTACGATAATGTGTACAAAACGTAGTCAATCAATTATTGTTCAATCGAGGTATGATAAATTCCGCCTGAAATTAATAGGTAAAAACAAGGTCTATGGTAAATTCCGCCCGGGAAAATGTCCAAGTAAAAAAGGTACATGTAAATTCCGCCCGAAAAAATGGGCTCGTGTTTTAGGCACCTGCAACTAACCCGGTTATCGCGGCACTGCCTCCGCGATTCGTCTAACAAAACAAACGTTTGACATTTGGATCGTGAACGGTCGAAAAAACGAAATCGAACAACGGCGGCGGCGTGCGTCTTCACAAGATCGGAACGCGGCGTAGACGTGTGCAACGTTCTTAAACGTTTGGTGCATAATTATAAACGAGAGACTATTTCGCAGACGATTCCGCGTTATATTGACCGAACCGGGAACGGTTTTTCTAAAATTTTTTATTTACCGGCGCGATTGATATTTTATAATATTTGAACTTAAAAAAAAAACGCGTGCGCGTCATGTGTATTACGTTGTTATTGGTTTCAGTCACCGTGTTCCGTTACACCCGTACGCGTTAACTGAATTATGTCCGATACGTTAAATACGTACGAATTACGCGTCGCGCTCAGAGGTGTATTGGTACGTATACGCGGGTATACGCCGTAAGCCCTTCAGCAGATTTTCAATTTTCGGCATATGCCTAGTGTAAAATATTATTTTACTGGCATACGCTTCAAAAACAACTCGAAAACCAAAATTTAATACTAGTTCAGTGGAAAAAATCTATGATCTAAATCTAATCTATAATCTAAAAAAAAAACCATGAAGTTTTAATGAAATATTTATCTGTTGAGGATTACAACGAGGATTGCTGTGTTTAATGTATTTTAAGTTCGATTCAGTAAATAACATTATGAACAATAGATATTATTAGATACTCATATAGTACGAAGTATGGATGTTCAACCCGTGGTTCTTAAATATGCATCATGCAAATCATGCAATTTACAACGGGTGGCGAATGTATATCTTGTGGTGTTGTATTTTATTGTTGTATTAGAAGTTACAAAAATGTTAGGGATTAATTTAATTTATTCGGACGTGGTGAGAACATTTTTTTGAGGTTAATATCTATATATTTTTAATGCGTATACCCTTAAATATATTTACCAATACACCATTGGACGCGCCAATCATTTCGTTTCGATATCACCGTTCGGGGTCGTGTTCACCGCGTACACATTATTTCGACCGTTTAATATCACCTATGGGGGTAAAAACTTCACGTAGTCCGACCGCAATACTATTATACGTTACGTTGGGTTACGTCGCATGCGCCTTTCGTCCAACATGTATTCTTCCGATGGAAATAGTACACGTTTTTATTTCCGTACAACGATATTCTGCAGAAAAAATACGCGGCGCTGCTGAGCGACTAACGCGGCCGTTTAGCCTAATATATCGCATAACTTCGACCATACGACCGTTGAACAGTTTATACGAGTGCAATGCCTCTGGAAAACACCGGAGGCTCATAATATAAATCGATTTTCGTTTCCATTCCGGTTACCAGCGCTCCGAAGTCTACAAGAAATATTATGTGGTTAAAAAATGTGTTTCCGTTGATCGATTTGCTTCAATCTTGTTGATCTGATTATTTCTCAAACATTGCAATTATCACACTCGAAAGCATACGAATAATTGATTAATTTTTAAACGACTTCAGTTGTGCGAAAAAAAAAATTTAAAAAAAAAAAAAAAATTAATTCGTGTGGCTAACGTCTGAAATTAATAAACACCCACCTTCTGAGAACATGATTGATTGGATTTACTCGTTTTAAATTAATTATGACCGCTATTATTCCCGATTTCATGAACATTCATACGGATTCTATTCTATTTCTATTGAATATACCTAATATTCTATTTCCACGTTTCCGTGTGGCTAAATATTATTTATTTATAAAGCGAAAAATGCATTGTAATTAAAAATGAACTAGAAAGCGCGTAATTATAAATAAATAAAATCGGAACAGTAATGATTGATAATAATATTGATCTGTATAGTTGGTAGCCTGATTAAAAAAGTGTTTACACTGTTTTTAAACGACTATTATCTGGGAATTATAATACTAAACAGATTTCGTAGCTGTAGTGAACAGTTGACAATTTTCGATGGAAAGAATATATATTTATACAGTTTAATATATATGATATTTGTTAGATGTTTAATAAAGTAATAATGATGATAATGACTTACACAAATACGCAGACTAAGTGTCGCGTTACGTTACTGACAATGGACAGTTTCGGACTAATTTCGATAAGATAGGAAACGTGTAACATTAATATTAAAGAAATTGTTTGAATTAATTTCTAACGGTAGTTACCAGAATATTATAGAAAATAAGTCATGATTCAATGATAAAATAAATCTGAAACATAATAAATTCTTTTATAATGAATGTGACTAAACGAAGACTAGGTGAATATTTTTTATTTTTATTTAATTTTATTCGTATTCATCACGTAATTTGATACAATATATTTCTTAGAATTTAGTTGAT